CTCTCTCTCTCTCTCTCTCTCTCTCTCTCTCTCTCACACACACACACACACACACACACACGCACACACATCATCAAATACATGTTAAACCTATACCCAAACCAATCTTTCTACTTAAGATTATAAAAATATATCCTAATGATAGTAAAATATTTTATTGTTACCTATTTAGATTTACATCTAATTTACAACATGGCCCTGTTATACACAATTTACAATGGACACGATATACATATATGTAGTATAAGTATATAATAACATTCTCATCTGTGCAGATCCTGACAAGTTAAACTATGAAAAAGAAAACTATTCGTCACATTGACATCAAAAACAGTTTCTGCAGGTATTCCGTTTTAAAAGACTCGGTCTAGGGCCTGTTCGTTTATGCGGAACAACCGGTACGTCCGTTTTTAAATGTAACATTTTCGGGTTTAAATCCTGGCGGACCTGCACTAGTTTATGCAGGCATTGCAAGGCTTTGTCAAGGCTAGCCTAAAGCACCATAAGATTAATGGGTCCGACCTTATTACAGACACAACAACTCTTGTCCAACCCGTTCAACCATTAGGACCGCGATTAAAGAAAACGGTTTAGGTAAAAATATTGGGTGAGCTTTCTTAATTAGTCCATAAAATGCTCCGACGAAGGCCTTAATATACGATTTAATATTTATCCTGTATAAGTTTTCACGTGGATTACGTGTGACCCATATAACATGTACATTTGCGAGAAATAAACAATCTATGCATATGAATAGCTTATGCAATATACACGGAAGTAACACCGGAGCTGAATATAAGAAAAAAAATATGTTTTAGGGCTGTTTTCATTGGCTCAGTGTTTAATCAAGGACTGTCTAGATTTGAATTATACTAATTCGTAGAATTCGTCGAAAGTCTATAAAACGAGAACGCTATATCTCTAACAGGTATAATCATTCAAAATTTATAAATCCCACGATAGAGAGTTTACTTCCCTTTATTTAGCCCAATAGGAAAGGTAAAGATCCAGATAGATTAGTATAGATAGATAAGTATGCGAGAATCTGTAAAATCGAGGTTCCGCTGTGCAGGGTATTTTTTGTTGGACAGTTTGTGTTAGATAGGATACACGTAATGTGTATGTAGATAAAGAAGAAGGAAGGAAAACGTCACAACCAACATACGGTGAAGGGCGAAAGTTTACCAAGACCTTTCAAGATTTTCAAGATTTGTATTAACACCCAGACACATAATATGTGTTACATGAGGAAATAAAGTTGCAGATATGGCAAACGAAGTACAATATACATATTTATATACACATGTTATAACTGAAAGAATGGACAGTTCAATTTAGAACCGATACGGTATAGTAACATAATATGACATACAATGGAAAATACAAAGCAAACATAAATAAACATACATATAATTCCCAAGTTATTTAACTATTAACAGTTATACATATGCATCATTCACAAAAGAGGAGCCATTTTGGTTAGGAAAATAGATAAACCTGTCAGAACTCGTTGATTGCATAATGATAACAGACCGGTAAACTTGCAAATATTTGGGGTTGTACAATAATAACGAGGAATATATTTGTTACGTAAGGTGGATATAGTTATATCATTGCATTCAAATAGATAATGAAATTCCCCGTATACAGTATACATGTGTTTATACAAGGAAGTCAAGTTATGCCCAATGATATTAAATCAAGGTAAATATTTTACCTTGAAGCGATGAGTCATAACTCGTAATGAATACACCTGAAGCCAGGGGAGTTGTTTACAATAGTTATGTATGACAAGCCAGGTAAACATTTACTAGTATTAGAGACATGTTCAAATGGAATTGATATATATATATAACTTTAAATGCAATGGAGATATTTTTTTCCATTTAACCATATATGTTTTTGTAAAAGCATCTTGGATTTTCATCTGTGTCTTCTGATAAGGGGAAAATAAAGAAACTAAAATGGACTTGATGCCCCTATTATCACACTTGGGATATGTATTTGTTCTTTTCAGACTTCTCTGTTCTTTCCTTTCGGTCGGTGATGGTAGGTGTTGATGTCTGTTCATAAAGACCCTTTTAAACGACTCATCTGGATATGACCAAAGATACTTTCTTAAACAAATTCTCAGGTCTCGGTGTGAAAAACAAGAATCCGTGCTTTCTATTGGATAGCTGGTAGAAGAAGGAAATAGGCCTCATGCACTTGTATTGGTATATAACAAAATGCGGATCTGCGCCAACATATATTGAAATAAAGTTATGTAAGAATATCAATTATAATTATTGTCAATAATGGTTTTTCTAACCCATTTTTATTATGTGACAAAGGTAGTTGAAAAATGAAATAAGGATGATAAGCATCATCATCATCAATCATCAATCATCATCATCATCATCATCATCATCATCATCATCTCATCATGATCATCATCATCATCATCATCATCATCAACATCATCATCATCATCGTCATGACATCTCAATATCAGTCTTCCTCCTCCCCCTCCTCCTCCTCCTCCTCCCCTCCTCTTTAACATATTTTCCACATTTAATACATATTAACAACAGTTTCTTACTTTCAGCCAATACGGTATTGATCGACAACTTGAGAACAAAATCACAGGGAAGTACCGTCGCCGACATGAGCCATACGGAAAAACACTTGCAGTTTCAACTGACGAAGTAAGAGAAGAAACTATCATTCATTTCTTTGAAAATAAAACGTAGGCAATTTGAAGTCTCCTTTGTTAAATGAAAAGGTCGATTTAATATTACTTCAAGATTGTATCACAAATCTTATTTAGTTTCTGAAACTTACGTAGTAGAACTCATTTTTTTCTTTAAATGCTTGGTCTTACAACACAGCCTTTTGAAATCGTACGTACTCCTTTTCTATTTATATCTTTATAACGAAACACTTTTTCGCTTTACTGTTTCGTGTTTGAAAATGTTGAATTCCTCGTGAAGTCATCCTATATAGTACGTCAGTCCTATTTAGAATGGTTGATTTATATATATGTGTGTTAACTGTAAGCTCTAAGAGCAACTTTTGAAAATCACATTCTATTTCTTACAAAAAGAGCCGAAATGGTCTCCCTGGGTATAAAAATACAAACTTTTTGTTATTTTTGTTTTGTAAATCTCAATTATTTGAAAGCTTTTTAACATGCACTGTCGGCTTTAAATTCGTTCGACAAATATTGGCAATATTTCTTTGTATTCTGATTACTTTTTTATACGCTTTGATTTCAGAAACTATGTGAGAGAATTGTCCATTCCGAATAGTCATGTGACATTACTTAAAGGCAATGGGATCAAATGGAGTGCACGGGACGTTAATATATCTGTTAGCTCCGACTACAGTTACAGATACGAGAAGAAAATAGGGTAAGTGTTAATCTAAAATAGAGTCAATGCATAACACATTCCGGTTTACAGCAGTATCTAAGTCTGAATTTAATCATATCGTACAAACCCATCTGTACCACTATGTGTTTGGGGGACTGGTTTATATAGTTATCACTACGTCCGCGATCAGATCCATCGCAATTTCCGTCTAATACGTTATTTGCTCAATAGCAGAATTACTCCTGTGTCTGTCCACATTCCCCACACTTTCTCTGTCATATTCCGTAAGTAAAGGTCAACCAAACAATAAACTTCAAATAGTAGATAGAATACACCTACCACAGACAGTACAAGTAACAACCTACATTCGCGTAAACGCACATGCTACTACAGGCCAATAAGGACTTAGGGGACATTTGATTACACGTCAGTACATAAAAGCACTAGTGTGTTTGAAACAAATACATTCCAAAACGTAAAACATACAATGTATATGCCTAATAAAATCGATATTGCCAACTGTTTCAGTTTTTAAATATATATTATTATACTTCTGCAACATTTAAACCTGTAACCAATTTAAAGACGCACAATTGAATGTTTTCTAGACATTTATGTTTTATTTGTTTTTTCAAACGGCAAAGTTAATTATTAAGATGTTATGAATTTTCTGATAATTCTGGCGTGAGTACACGGTAGGTAACCCTGGACTTGATTCGCTCTGTGTCAGGTAGATTAATTACAGTTAATCCCTCCCCAGTACCGCTATTAATCGCTACCCCTGTAATTATCGCTACCAAGACGAATAGTGCTCCAATTCAATTCAATTTATTATCAAATGCACATTGTATATAGGCGTACAAAAATATACATATATATAAATACTTTACAAATAGCTTGTACAATGGCGGAGAACATTTGCAATAGATTCAATTCCATACATGATAATTACAAATTCATGAAATAGTCACAATTGGGGGAAAACTTTAAGGTTTTCCTAAGGTAACTTAGCGGACTCTTATGAAGCATAATTTAGTTGTTTATGAAAGAATACAAATACAGCCTTAATCTAACCAAATTTCTAGGAAATAACAAAACTTCAAAGTCAATCATACAACCTCAACATGAAGGTAGAAGGAGTACTACATATTATGTAATGAAATGAGATTATAACTGATTGTGAAGTAAAGGACATTATACAGTAACAAAACGTTTATAGCAAGACTTTGATACAGCTTATATTTCATAATATACGACTTCTCTTGACAGTTGCTTGAATCAAGTACTTACTTAAATTCTAATAAGTTTAAAAAAATTGCTAGACAGTAGCTCTATTAATTTAAACACAGAAGGACGAATACGATAATATGGCTTGATATAGTACGATACTCTTAATTCTAAAAACACAGGACACATAATAATGAAATGAAACTCATCCTCGACATCTCCAAGATCACAAAAAGTACACAATCTCTGGTTTCGAGGCACTGCATTATATCTACCTGTCTCTATATTAAGGTTATGTGCTTGCAATCTATCGTTCGCAAGAAAACATTGATTTTTTTCTATGTAGCGGTTTTGTAAAATACCATTGTAGATCAAAACGGTCAACAATGTGTTTAAACAACAAACAGCTTGAAGATGTCTCGTATATGTTTCTGATTTCCTGAATAAAAGTATCCTTTATGCGTTGTATATATAATAATAAAAAATATCCAACAACGTCAGCACTGGGGAGTGAAGCAGGATCCTACCTCCCCTATAGTACATATATATATGTTACCACACGGAACGGTCATACAGCTAACACAGGGGATCCTACCTCCCCTATAGTACATATATATATGTTACCACAAGGAACGGTCATACAGCTAACACGGGGGATCCCTACCTCCCCTATAGTACATGTATATATGTTACCACAAGGAACGGTCATACAGCTAACACAGGGGATCCTACCTCCCCTATAGTACATATATATATATTACCACAAGGAACGGTCATACAGCTAACACGGGGGATCCCTACCTCCCCTATAGTACATGTATATATGTTACCACAAGGAACGGTCATACAGCTTACACGGGGGATCCCTATCTCCCCTATAGTACATATATATATGTTACCACAAGGAACGGTCATACAGCTAACACGGGGGATCCCTATCTCCCCTATAGTACATATATATATGTTACCACAAGGAACGGTCATACAGCTAACACGGGGGATCCCTACCTCCCCTATAGTACATATATATATATTACCACAAGGAACTGTCATACAGCTAACACGGGGGATCCCTACCTCCCCTATAGTACATGTATATATGTTACCAAAAGGAACGGTCATACAGCTTACACGGGGGATCCTACCTCCCCTATAGTACATATATATATGTTACCACAAGGATCGGTCATATAGCTTACACAGGGGATCCCTACCTCCGCTATAGTACATATATATATGTTACCACAAGGAACGGTCATACAGCTAACACAGGGGATCTCTACCTCACCTATAGTACATATATATATGTTACCACAAGGAAAGGCCATACGATCAATGCTTCACTTTGAGTATATAGCTAAACCTGTCTCCACTTAAATGCATAGCTACCACATAGATTCATAGCTACCACAGAGATTCATAGCTACCACATGGATTCATAGCTACCACATGGATGCATACCTACCACATAGATTCATAGCTACTACAGAGATTCATAGCTACCACATAGATTCATACCTACCACAGAGATTCATAGCTACCACATGGATGCATACCTACCACATAGATTCATAGCTACCACAGAGATTCATAGCTACAGAGATTCATAGCTACCACAGAGATTCATACCTACCACATAAATTCATAGCTACCACAGAGATTCATAGCTACCACAGAGATTCATAACTACCACATAGATGCATACCTACCACATAGATGCATAGCTACCACATGGATTCATAGCTACCACATAGATTCATAGCTACCACAGAGATTCATATTTATCAAGAAGATTCATAGCTACAGCAGAGATGCATAGCCACCACATATATTCATACCTACCACAGAGATTCATAGCTACCACATAGATTCATAGCTACAACAGAGATTCATAGCTACGACATAGATTCATAGCTACCACATAGATGCATAGCTACCACATAGATGCATAGCTACCACATAGATTCATACCTACCACAGAGATTCATAGCTACCACATGGATTTATAGCTACCACAGAGATTCATACCTACCATATAGATTCATAGCTACCACAGAGATTCATAGCTACCACAGAGATTCATAGCTACCACATAGATTCATACCTACCACAGAGATTCATAGCTACCACATGGATTTATAGCTACCACAGAGATTCATACCTATCTCATAGATTTATAGCTACCACAGAGATTCATAGCTACCATAGAGATTCATAGCTACCACAGAGATTCATAGCTACCACAGAGATTCATAGCTACCACATATATGCATAGCTACCACATAGATTCATACCTACCACAGAGATTCATATTTATCAAGAAGATTCATAGCTACCACATAGATTCATACCTACCACAGAGATTCATAGCTACCACATGGATTTATAGCTACCACAGAGATTCATACCTACCACATAGATTCATAGCTACCACAGAGATTCATAGCTACCACATAGATTCATACCTACCAGAGATTCATAGCTACCACATGGATTTATAGCTACCACAGAGATTCATACCTACCATAGAGATTCATAGCTACCATATAGATTCATAGCTACCACAGAGATTCATATTTATCAAGAAGATTCATAGCTACAGCAGAGATGCATAGCCACCACATATATTCATACCTACCACAGAGATTCATAGCTACCACATAGATTCATAGCTACAACAGAGATTCATAGCTACAACAGGGGACTGTACCCTGATTATTGCCTCTCATTTGTTTCATAGCTATCACAGATGCCTGTGCCATGATCCTTATCTCTCGTGTTTTGCTTAGCTACCAAACGGGACTGTATCTTGGCCCTTGCCTCCCCTATATTACACACCTACAATGTACCACAGGTATATGTACAGTGCATATGCGCATTTCCTCCGGCCATTTTACCAGTACGTGTGTAGGACCATTTTTATTCAGCGAACAGTTCAGTTTCATTTCTGTTGAAATGCAGAATCTGTGTTCATCACATTTAGACATTTCTTGTTAGATTTGTATATGTGTAAAGCTTCACCTTATTTAAATAACATATTTACTATGGAAACTCAAAGTGTTACCTTACAATAGGTATCAAAAAGAACCTGTATTCGCCATTTTGACAAAAAACGAGATATAATTATGTGTTCAGTATATTTATGTCATATTAGAATGAAGACAAAAAACATCATTGAAAATGTGTTTTTATATAATTAAAAATTTATGTCGATACGCAATATCCTTGAGATGGTATTTAACATGAAAAAATAGCATAAAGCATGAAAACGCCAAAACCTTCATCCTGATTCACTATAATATTTGTGAGGTAAAGCAACAGACATCGATGACGTCACATGAAACATTACGGAAAAATACAATTGCGTCATTGCTTCGAAGCAAGTGTGTAATTTGTATATTTTTTCTTTATTTTTTTTCTTTTATTCACATATTTTTCAATGTCAAAAATTTAAACCCTTTTTGATTTCACACCGGGGCCCAGGGAATATTTTTAAGTTGCCAAATAAAAAACAAATTGTAACTTATGAATCTTCCCTCGCGTAGAAATTCCTCTATCCTTACCCACAAGTGTAACCCAACCCACTAATCTGAACTTACCCACAAGTGTAGCCCTTTCCACTAGTGTCGTCCTTCCCACTTGTGTACACCTACCCACAAATGTAATCCCTCCCACTAGTGTAACCCTACCCACTAATGTAACCCTACCCACTAGTGTTACCAAACCCACTAATGTATCCCTACCCACAAATGTAATCCCTCCCACTAGCTTAAACCTACCCACTAATGTAACCCTGCCCACAAGTGTTACCA